TTTTTTATAATTTTCCCATAAACATAAGCTGACCCATTAACCCAATCCAACCTGCTACCTATTAACCCAGCCCATATCCACCGTCTTTATCCTCCAAACCTTATTTTAATCTAACCCGTCGCCAACCGTAGGTTCTAACTGACCACTCCGGCAGCCACCGTACCAAGCACAGCCGTCGTCTCAGCCCCACTCGCTGTCACCAATCCGTCGCCACCTTTGCCACTCCGACATCCACCACCAGCCGTTATTGCACCCTTTCCCCTCGATCGAACCATCCGTCACCAAGTCACCCACCTTTCACCTCCCAATAACTGAATTGCCGTTGCTGCAATCATACAATAACCAAAACTCACAATCCATACGACCACTACTTCCAGTCAACCTCCACCACTTCGAAGATCTGCCACGAATTCATAATGCCACCCTACTATCATCGCAGGCCACTGCACAGCCAAATTCAATATGTGATGCCTTCGCTTCAGTTATTGGGACTAATACTGAGACCAAACTGATGAATACTCCTTTGGGTACTAGAATCAGAACCTTGGCGAGAGAATGACACACTATTTCTACCTTTTGTTGTCGATTTTGACTTTGACTCTCTCTCTCTCTCTCTCTCTCTCTCTATATATATATATACATATATATATGTATATATATACATATACACGCTACACTTACTGAGGGAAAAAATCATTGTATTATCTCTCGATTATGGAGAGATCCGATGAGAAAGATATACTGGACTAGGTGGAGATAGTTATTGACTTGTAAAATTGTAGATTGAAAAACAAATTTAAGGAGAGAAGGATTTTGTTTATTCAAACAAAAAAATTTGGCTGCTCGCAGGAACGAAATTAAGGGTTAATTTGTTTAGGATCAGATCTCAATGTGAGAGGTTGTCTTATTAAATGGAACAAAAATCACAACTAAATATAGTAAAAGCAATCTATTTGTATATGGTACAATTATAATTGTAATATAAATGTCAATTGTAATTTTCGACGATTTTCGTAATTTTATTCAATCTCATTAACATCGCCACCCTTAAATAAGCTAGCCCAAGTTACCCTTCAGTTTAGAATTAGAGATTTATGTACGTGAAATATACCAGTGAGACGGGGGAATAAAACGCACAATGGTGGGTTGAGCTCTTTCAACTGTGTGCTCCACTCCACACATGGCAAAAACTGAGACTAAATACTGAATTTTATGAGTATGTGAATAACTATATTTATATAGTAATAAAAGAGAGATTTTAACTTGGTGATTAAAGGTTCCAGTTTGATAATCTTGGGTTGTATCTATCTCATGGAATATTAGCTCTTGTTTGAGGCCCATTTTTTCAAGGATGTAGTTTTTTGAAAATTCATTTCCAACCACACACTCTCCTATAAAATAATTATACACGTATTTCAAGAATTTTTTCCTTATTTTCTAACGATATAACTTACCAAATAAAGAACAAAATAAATTTATTCAATTAGGGGATGGCAGAATTTTGCATATACCGTACGTGCCATCGGCATTATAATAAGGTCTGTGTTGTATCCTTTTATGGAATTTTTTCTATCTTATGGTATACTTTCTTTCTTTTCTTTTTTTTGTTGACAAAAGCTATTCATTAATCATCATAAAAGCAAGTTTCAAGTATAAGGAGGAGTATCCTCTAACACAATTCTCTCCTCAGAGAGTTTAAGTGATTCATTTGCTAAAGTATGAGCAACCACAATCACGTTCCTAGGTACATGATTAACAAACCAAGAATGAAAATATTAAAGCACGCTCCTCGCGTCCTGAATCAATAAACTTGGGTAGTTCCACAAGTTTGAATCTCCATTCAATCCCTTCACAACGTTAAGCACGTCTCTAATAATAATAATAATAATGTAGGATTGTTGTAATTGTGCGCTTTTCCTTTCAATAATTGAAAAATGGTTGTTGAAATAATCAATCATAATTGTCCCCACGTTATGAACATATGTGCTTTCAATTGATTTCCATTTGGAATAATCCAAGATAGATGCAAGCATTTTACCTAATATTTAGGTTTGAAATTGTGTATTCACCTTAAACCTAATTAATATTTGTACTAATGATTGGAAGACAATCCAATCCATTCATAATCTTGTTGCCATGATCCTTTGCATCAATATTTATTCCTACCAAATAATCCACCTTGTAATTATTTTAATTCTTTTAGTGCAAATTAAATGGCATGTAGAACAATATGCGAGGCCACAAACAACTCCACCAACTAGCAAATCTAGTGCGTGTTTGGCTAAGCTTATAAAAAGTAATTGTAAGTAAGTTTAGTTGTAAATAAATAAGTAAAAAAAATTGTTGGCTAAAGTTTAATTAAGATACCCTTTTTTACAATAATCATTGCCTTATTGTCAAAAGTTAAAACAACTACGTTATTCTTATGTAGCAATACTTAGGTGGTTGTCATAGACTACCCGTTTGATTTGGGTGAGACAAACTAAAAGCACTCCATTAAGCTGGAGCGAATTTCATCAGATACATATTTGGTATACATTCTTTCAAAATTTATTTTCAACTACACATTATTCAATAAAATAATATTTTTCATCACATCAATGACTTCTCTTTACTTTTTAATCATATATCACTATTTAAAATTCATTATTTTCTCAATAATATCCATCAAACACGCATTTATCTAATTTTGTTCGAAAATAAGGATTACTAAAAATAAGTTAGTTAACTTTTGAAATTAACCAATCATGCTGTAGACAGGTCTTGACATCCTATAGTATAATTGGTGGACCAATTCTACTGTGTATAGGGGTTTGTTAGGGAAATCCTAATTAGGAGGTTATTTGAACTAATTAATCTCTCCTTGGAGTATACTTGATTGCAAAGAACCTTGAAATTATGAAAATAGAGACCAAGTTTGAGACAAGACAGAGTCTCCCACGTGTAGCATGTGGATTTAACATTAGTTAATTGTCTAAAAAACTTAATCCAAGAAAATTACTTTGTTCTAACTTCTAACTAGGTAAAATATTAATTTAACTTGGGAGTTGCAAAAACCTAGGATGGCATGGATGGGGTGGGGTGGGGTGGGGTGGGGGATAAGTTAGGCTATAGGACTAGGTACTTTGAATGGCCAAACAAGATCCTACATGAATGTAATTTTAAGGGTAAAGCCCCTTGTATCGGGCCGGTACGTACCGGGCGCCGAGGTGGCGCTCCATGATTGGTGGAGGCTGACACAAATGTCAGCCTCCACCAATCATGTGTTGCCACCTCGGCGCCCGGGACAAGTAGGGTGGTCCTTTGCCAAAAATGTCAGCCTCCACCAATCATGTGTTGCCACCTCGGCGCCCGGTACGTACCGGACCGGTACAAGTAGGGCGGTCCTAATTTTAAATACTTTTCAGTGAAGGATTCTTCAAAGCACAAAAAGAGCAAAATGCACACACTAACCTAGGCATAATATTATGCTGTAATGGAATGATCCTAACAAAAATCCCTTCATTTGGGACTATTGCCTTTGGGTCCAAAGACAAAAGTTTAGTTTGACACAAAAAAACCTTAAAATTGCTTTAGAACAAACATATTGTTATTGTACATAGATACATAAATGACACGTTTGATGGCAATGTACGTAGATTGATCAAAACTAGTTAATATTAAGAAAAAAAATAAATTAAAATCATATTTATTGTACTACTTAACAAGTCTAAGAATGATTGAACGTACCGATGTGAAATGCCAGCCTAATTAAATTTCCCCATGCCATTCCTAAGCCCAAAATCTACGTCGAAGACACGAACATTCCACGCACAAATTCCATTTACCGAAACCCAATAAAGCAAATAGATAGATTTTCTTAAAAAAAAAAAAACTCAGTAATCCAGACTGGAAAACAATGATTTTTACATGGAAAAAATGCTCATATAAACACACAAAATTGTGTGAGCTAATTAATGACCAAAATTTTCTTCTCTCCCCCTTGAAAAACAAGGTAAGAGAGCAATAACAAAACCAAACTCTCCAATCCATAAATAACATTTCTTGAACCATTCTTTCAATTGCTTTTTTCTGGTTTCTTCCTCTTGTTAGTAAAGACCGAATCCAATTGAAATGATAGGGACACTGCTTGGTTTTTAGATCAAAAACTTCGCTGACCGCGGGCAGTCTTGAAATCAAAGGAAAATGACTCCGGCAGTCTCATTCCACCCCCTAATTCAGGCTCTTTGGTATGAGACTCGAGAAAACACGCAAAAACACACACCTCTGCCTGCACTTTATTCTCTTCAAAATTCGATGCTTTGCCCTGTATTCAGAACGAGGTTTTGAGAAACGAACACTTTCTTTTTCCTTTAAAACAAAAGGTCATATTTCTACATTTTGTCTACTGATAAATTGATATTAATATTCTGCATTCTCCTGTTTCTGCTTTCAGAATCTATTATTCTTATTTCTTTTTCAAAGAACAAAATTTCCAACTGGGCTTTTGTGGATTTGACTTGTTCGTAGAAACCCAGAAATCAGAATAATAAGAAACTTTAATTTTCTTCCATCCCTTAGTTGTCTTCTCTTCATTACCTGAAGTACCCAAAAGGTATTGTCCTACCTTTTTTTTCCAATTACTGAGAGAGATCAAGACATTTTTTTGGTCGTTGTTCATATATGAATTAGTGAAACAATGAGAAATGAGAGCTCCAAGAGAAGTAAGGTGTGTAAAATAAAAAATATGCAAGTGCATTAATGAACTTTCCTGCTTTCAAGATTTCTGATTTTTTGGTGTTTGCTGATGAAGCTTTTTTGGCCTAAAACACTGGTGAAGAAATGGTTCAACATCCAGAGCAAATCCGAGGACTTTCATGCTGATGACACCATTTTTGGAAGTAATTAATGTTATCTCATTAATCTCTTTAATGATAAAAACTGAATCTTTTGCTTCTGTATTAATTATTAGAATTTAGAATGAAATAGAGATTAAGCAATTATTATTGCCCTTTTGACTTAATCTGGATCAATTTTTCCTCTCTTGCACTGGAAACTGGATTTTAACAAGTCCTGCCATTTTCGATGCACCGAGAACTCTTTGTTTTTGTTATATCTTTTTTCTTCTGAATTCTCAAGATTTTCATTTTTATCAGTAAGATGTTTATTATGTTTTATCATTTTTTGTTTTTCAGAAGGTGGGTGTTCTGTTGTTATACAGCTTTAATAACTTAAGATTTTTGCTTTTTCAGGTGTTGATGAAGAATGGAGGACCAAATTCTCTAAGAGGGAGGCATGCACTATCAAGAAAAGTATAACAGGTTATTTATTTGGACCACAAATCATTTTTTTCTAATCTTTTTTCCTGATTTTATAAATTTGTCTAATGATAGTTCCTTTTCCACTATTAAATTGATAGATAAATCAAGTAAACAGTTTTCCGATGGTGTCCGACGAAGTAAGATTGACCTCGATGCCTCCCAAATTACTGATGTACACAACTATAAGTGTGTTCTTCTAGCCTCTTGCTACTTCATTAATTCTTTTTTCTCACAATGTAAGAGCAGGTTTTTACCACATTTTTCTAATTCATATTGGACAGGATCTTTGTGGCAACATGGAACGTTGCTGGAAAATCTCCACCCAGCTATTTGAATCTTGAAGAGTGGCTACATAATTCACCGCCAGCTGATATTTATGTTCTTGGGTTTGTAAATTTGTCATTACTTACAAATCTTAGCCCTTTTATTTGATTGCAGAGTAAACGGATGATTAATGGAAGTCTCTTCATATTATGACTTTTAGGTTTCAAGAAATTGTACCTTTAAGTGCTGGTAATGTCCTGGGAACAGAAGACAGTGGTCCGGCTAGAAAATGGTTAGCAGTTATTAGGAAAACTTTGAACAGTGTTCCAGGCAACAATGGTGGCTATCACACGCCTTCATCAGTTTCCAATCCAATAGCTGAACTAGACGCCGACTTTGAAGGAACAAATAGAGAAAAAGCTTCCTCTTTCTTCGAATGTCGTTCATTTCAGCCATTGAGCTGTAGTATGAGAATGATGGATAGTGACATGTCAATTACACATCCTAGACTAGATCGCCAATTTAGTGTTTGCGATAGGGTTATCTTTGGAGATGGATCGAATGACTATGATCCCAATGTCAGATGGGATGGTTCATCTGATTATGAAAATGGGCTGGACGATTCACCTTATATCATTCAGAACTCTCCAATTTCATATGATGTTTCTGGCCTGATGGAGGAAAGGGACAGACAATCCGGGCAGTCTAGGTATTGTTTGGTTGCAAGTAAGCAAATGGTTGGGATTTTTCTCACAATATGGATAAAGAGTGATGTGAGAGATTCTGTTCAAAATCTAAAGGTTTCTTGTGTTGGCAGAGGATTGATGGGTTATCTTGGAAATAAGGTATTCTTCCAACTTATTTGAAACTGTGTAAATTGAAAACACACCCTCCATAGCTAAGCCAATGCAAAAATCTCATTGTATTAACTTTTCCAGGGTTCAATTTCAATTAGCATGTCTTTGCACCAGACGAGCTTCTGCTTCATCTGTAGTCATCTAACCTCTGGAGAGAGGGATGGTGATGAGTTGAGGAGGAATTCCGATGTCATGGAAATTTTGAGGAAAACAAGGTTTCCACAAGTGCATGGAACGGGGGATGAGAACTCCCCCCAAACAATCCTTGAGCATGAGTAAGTTCCTCACCCTTAACTTGTCATGCCTGTTCAATATTTTCTTTGGCTTTCGTTTATGCAATGTCAATGTGTTTCACATTTTTGCAATATGAGGAAGTGCCTTTCTACAGAAACATTAAATTTATATGGTGGGATTCAGAAGAATGAGGTTCAAAGTCTAAATCATCTTTGTGTTTTCTAGTCAAATTATATGGCTTGGGGACTTGAATTATCGAATAGCCCTCTCGTATCGATGTGCAAAAGCTCTCGTCGAGATGCGTAACTGGAAAGCTTTGTTAGAAAATGACCAGGCAAGTAAATGGAATTCCCTTGTAGAGCTTCAATTTTATTGTCATATTATGCAGACTTTGACAAGTATATGGAATGCTCTATTTACGCCTTTGGTCATTTTATCAACAGCTTCGTATAGAGCAGAGACAGGGGCATGTATTTGCTGGATGGAATGAAGGAAGAATATATTTCCCACCAACGTACAAGTATTCAAATAATTCCGACAGATATGCTGGGGAGAATATGCACCCCAAAGAGAAACGTAGAACACCTGCATGGTATATTTCTTTTTTGAAGAAATACATATATGTCTACATATGGTGACTTCTATAGATAAATAAAGGAATTAAAGCCGCACTACCTATATTACATGTATCTACTAGCAGACTTCGACACGCTACTTATGACCTTGTGAACATGCACTTATTGTCGTAAGTTGATCTTTTCGATACACCACTAATACTGTGTTTTTGAATGGATAAAGGTGTGATCGAATATTATGGCATGGTCGAGGTCTCCATCAACTATCGTATGTCCGAGGAGAGTCTAGGTTCTCAGATCATAGACCAGTTTATGCTATATTTTTGGCAGAAGTTGAGTCTATTAATCGTAGCCGATTCAAGAAAAGCACGAGTTATTCCAGCTCTAGGATTGTGGTTGAAGAGTTGCTGCCTTACTCCCGTGGATATGGTGAACCAAATTTCTACTGAAGAATGTATCCACATTTAAGTACTTAAAAGTCAGACTTTATCAACAAATATGAGAAAAGAGACTGCTAAGCAAGTAAGTTTTCTTAAACAAGTGCACAACTCAAATTGCATATGTTTCTTGAACTTTCTTTACACACACACATAGTAATGTTTGCAGTTTTTACTTACTGATTGGTGCATGTTTTATACCGATAGGACATCACGATAATCATCGCCATAAACACCTTTTTTGTTCAATCAGAATTATCCTCCAACAATTCAGGTGATTTACAATTTCTATTTGTCTCAAAAAAATTCCATTTCCCCCCCCCCCACACAGAGTTCCAAAGTGATTGATATCTTTGTCATTAGCAATGTTTTCTTCATTTTGCTGTCAATCTGAGAATTTGATCCCTTCTGAATACATTCAACAATTAACTTTTGCAATTTATTATCTCTTCTCTTAACAAAATCTCTGAAAAATCTCTTTACTGATCATATCTCGTTTACCAATGGTTCTACATTTGCAGATGAGCCACGAACACGATGCAAAAAAGACGTTGATTTTTTATACTTGATGGACGGTTAGTAATTGGCATCATCATTTTTCCTGTCTCCTAACAATCCTCCATTTTCTAATTCCTTTGTGATATTCCGTGTCTTATCAGGTTATAAACTTCATAAATGGTCGCTAACAGCACTGCCCTTCCACTAATTTCTTTCTTCACCAACTTTTCACCATGTACATTGTAAATTTGGCATCAAGAACAGGAGTTTTAAGATCGAACTGAATAATTAGGTAAGAAGTGATATTTTTCGTTTTTCTATTGCACCCATTTTAAATATTGAAACACGAATAATAACATTTCCCTTCATGTTTTTGCAGGACACTCTTGTAGCATGAGAATAACAAATAACTTGGTCGAATACACTCGAGGACTTCAGAGGACCCTGTAAAAAGTTGAAAAATACTTTTTACTAATTACGATATACTATCATGTTCCCCTTATGACAGGGAAGAACGGGGACATGGGCGGATAGGCATTTCAAGTTGCTAGTGAAGAAAGTAAAAGTTAACAAACATACAATGATACTAGATTCTAGTCCTGTAGCAATCAATGACTAAATACTGAAAAGTTGAGCATTTTACTGAAAAGATAAAGGCATTTCTTTGATGATGACTGTTGTTTTATTCTTCATTTTATGTGGAGTGTGCAAATTCTGCAAATTTTGGCAGTGTATTGCAACTGTTTGCTTATAGCTAGATTTTGATTAATGGAAGGGACACACATACAGACGCACAATTGGGAAGTGTGGAACTTGAAAAAGTATGAAATGTAATTTTCACTGGCTACCCACTTCAGGAAATATGGTTGTCTAGTGGAGTGTCAATACGGTACTCGGCAATCTTATAAAAAGGAAAAAGAAATTAAGTTTTCATTGATCATAGTGTTTCATATGCTTGTATTATCTTGTATTAGCACGTTTGAATTGTTTATAAATGGTTTAAATTATAATTAGATAGAATTTGAGTGATGGATAAGTGGGTGGTATTTGTGAATCTCACGAGAATGTGAATAAAAATTTGATCGATAATTAAATTGTCAATAAACAGTAGCCAAACATGGGATATGAACCTAAAGAGTTAAATCGAGTGTTTTCTCTACTTTCATACAAGGGATCTGCGAATCTACTTATATGTAGACCGTGTTGGAATTTTTGGGATATTTATAGGTGTGAATTGGAAAAGTATCAAATTGGTACGATGACTAGTCGTGATTCTTCAAAAGTGAAAGATGCATACAAGGAGTTATGTTGCTTCGAATGGGCGTGACTATTAAAAATAAGCATGATGAGAAGGCATGACCATTTTGATGAGTATATACTACATCATTTAATGTGAAAATGTGTGGTCTATGTCAAAATATGCAACTATTCTAAAAACCATTTGAAAATCTATAAATAGAGACATTTAGTTTCATTTTTTCCTACTCCAAATCAATTTCATATGATTGATTTCTAATTCTTTCCTTCTCCAAATTATGTCAAAATAATTTTCAAATTATTTTTGAGTTCCGTGTTCGATGTTTTCTATTCTAGAAGAGTACAGTTAAGCATTGGTTTGTCACGCAAAATTAATATTGTGCTGTATTAATTTTGGAAAAAGTGTAATATTTTGAGAATTGGACATCCATTTGATCTTGTTAGCATCCATGCAGGGCGAAATCCGTCATAAGGATATTTGCATTCGCATACCTCACTTCATTTCATCTCCTCATATTTTCTATGTTTAAGTGGCAATTTGCTATTATTATGCACATACTATGGTTTCAATAAGTCGTTACTTTATCTGTATTTGCATGCACGTATTTTTGGTTAAAGAAATATAATTCATGCACCAATTTATCCAACAATCGGAAGACAAATTTCGGCATTTTATATTCTATTTGTTCTATTCACGTTATATATCGATACTATAGCACATGATTTATTATGTTAGTATAATAATTATATTATGCATTAAGTTTTACTTTGAATATAATAAATCAGTTTGTAGTGTGTGTGAAATAAGACAGTAAGAGTGTGTTTGTGACACATTCTTTTGAAAGAATGTATTATTGAATAGTAGATTGATGGAGCATGTGTGGTTAAAAATGAAAGAAAAGTTATTGATGTGATAGAAAATATTATTTTATTGAAAAATGTGTGATTGAAAATGAGTAGAAGAATGAAAATGAAAAAAATAATATGTACCAAATAGGGCCTAAAATTCACATTGTAAACTTGTAGTCAAATTTGCCAATTGCACATCTGAGATATTTCATGACTATTATAAAATAAAAACTTTGCATATTCTGGATTTTATATTCTTTTTTACTACATTTTATCAAACAAAATTTGGGTGAATAAAATTCAGAATGAGATTGCATAGCACCTTGATTAGTTATGAATATAATATTTCAATTATTTGGATTTGTTAAATGCAACAATTTCTACTTGAAATGTGCGCAAAATGCAAATGTAATTCTTTTCAGTGATTGGCTTTCATATCGCACGTGTACTGTGTTGAAACAATGTGTGGACATTAATGATTAAATCTTCAAAGCATGAAATATGATAAGTTATTGACACGGTGCATGTGGATGTACGTGTTTGTTCATATATAAGTTTCTATATACGAAAGTTTGTGACTTTTCAAGTTTGATTCGTATCTCTTCATTTCATATTCATTGGCATTAAGGCAACAATAATGCTGAATGTACACATTGGTGTACATTCAGTTTGACAAACCCTGATATGGGGGTGGGCCCACAATTTTTATTATTGTGGGTCCCACCCCTACGTGAAGGGCTGTCATCCATGATGGACACAAAGATTTTGAAAGGATTTTCTAACTGGTGACAATTTGTGCATGTTATATCATTTGATCAAAGATAGTTATAAATGAAATGTCACTTAATATTTTGTATAATGACAAGTCTCAACATATACATTGTAGACATAATATCATTCAGCAGTTACTCTCAAATAGAACAATATAGATTGGTTTTGCTAAAATAAAGAATAATCTAACGGATCCGTTCACAAATGAGTGATTTAGAAAGAATAAATTGTGCATAGAGGGAAATAGATGTAAAGCCTATAGTAATGGGTCAACTTAATGAAAACCTAATCTAACGATTGAAGATCCCACGAGCTAGGTTCAATAGGAAAAATAGTTATGATTGACTCGATGAGAAGCACTTTGAAGGTTTAAATTCTCCCTGTTTCTGTTATGCAAATAAGTGTTGCCTATCAAAAATTGGTTAGGATAAGCAATGGTTTTAATGATGATTATATCTTGTAAATAGTACAAGTGGAGTATTGTAGGGTACTCTTGATAGAACATCAACTATGTGAGTGCGAACTGATTGGTTCTAAGACAATTTTATTTAGGCGAATTCTCTAGCCTACTTGCAAAACCAAAAAGGTTCAAGACCGAAATAATAAACACTATAGAGAACCAAAGTAAAATATGAGATATAATGTGTTTGATCTATCGTTTAGGCTTACCTTAATGGTTGACAATCCAAAACGCCGCATTCAATAATTAGCCAGTAAGTCCGATAAATTCTTACTGAGGAAGGTTCAAAGCGATAGCTACAAATTCTGGTGCATTATATTTCAGTTGTACTTTTCTTCTTCTTCCTTATTCTGGGTGGACTTCTTCCATTCACGTAGGGGACTGTTGGAACTTTTAGGATATTTATAGGTGTGAATTTAAAATGTTTTTAATTGGTACGATGACTAGTCGTTATTTTTCGAAAGCAAAAGTTGCATACAAAAAGTCATCTTGCATAATGTGACCATTTAAAAGGTGCGTGATTAAAATGCATGACCATTTGATAGGGTGTATACTACATCATTTAATGTGAAAATTTGTGGTCTATGTTAAAAGATGCCGTCATTTAAAAATTCACTTGAAAATCTATAAATATATACATTTAGTTCCATTTTTTCTCACTCCAAAGTACAATCAAGCGTTGATTCACACTACAAAATTAATATTGCGCTGTATTAATTTTGGAAGAAGTATTGTATCTTGTGAGATGAACGTCCATTTGATCCTAGCGCTTGTGTAGGGGACGAAATCCGTTTTAAGGAGATTTACATTCGCATAAATCGCTTCATTTCATCTCCTCCTATTTTCTACATTTGAGCAAGTCATAATTTGCTTATTATTATGTATGTATCATGGTTTCGATAAGTCGTTACTTTATCTTTATTTGAATGCACGTATTTTTGGTTAACGAAATTGTTACGGGTTAAAGGACAGAACGGACACGTGGCGTCACATCACGACGGTGGGACCAGCTTAATTCGATCAGGTCGTTATTCTCTAGCTTCAGTTGTGGGTTCCGAGGCCCTGGCTATTCGTCCGAGGCCCTCGCTATTACTCCGGGGCCCCTCCATCTCACGTC